TATATATATATATATATATATTTATTTATTTTAAAAAGAAATGGTCCGAGGCCATGATACGAGTCCCCACCCCCCTTATGTGCCTAATAATTCAAGTACCCCGCCCTACACTAGGGGAGAATCGAACCCCAAACCAGAGAGGGGACTTACAACTGGCAAGCAGATGCTCAATCAACTGATCTGAGTGAGTGAGTGAGTGTGTGTGTGTGTGTGTGTGTCTATAATTTAAACATTGATAAAATCAAATTTTAATTTTAGATTTATAATTTTTCATTAAAGTTTAATATATTATATTATTTAAAAATAATAATTATTATTTTAAATTTTTTCTAGGCCAAAGTTATTTTTTTATATTAATAAAATTATACGTTTGAAATATATATATATATATATATATAAACTAAAAAATAGAGTCAACTTGGTCGGTTAATATAAATTAAAGTTAATTTTATTCAGACAAGATTTTCAACTATGATCCTTTTATTAACCATGTTCTAATTAATTTGAGTTAAAATTAGGCTCAAACGTCAATATGTCCAACACGTTCCAATTTTTTTTACTAAAATCAATTATCCCTTTTGGAAATATAAAAAGATTAGCTTAGATGTAATTACTAAAATTAGAAAAACATTTTCATCTATTGTCCCGTTTTGAACGTTCACGATTCTAATTATATTACATTAAAAGTTAGATAGAGATAAAAATTAAAGTGTTAAAACTAAAATTAAATTGTTAAAACCATTGTACCCATATATACTACCATGATATAATAATTTTTAAACTTAAAAATTATAAAATTATAAATAGAACAAATATTATACCCTTTGAAAAGCAATATAACAAAATTAAATAAATACTATGAATATTAACTTAAAATAATTATTAAAAATGAGAAAAAAAGAAAACACGCTAGAAAATATTACTTCTGACATCCGAACTTCTAGAAGCCAGCGTAAATTGCACCACTCCGCATTGCGGGTTGATGCACGCCACGCCATACATTACATTGTTTTGTGGTGTGATCCACACCATACCTATATGTGTTCTTTAGCCATATTATTTTTTCCACGCACAAATATTTATAAAAATAAGTTTGTCAAGTTGTAGAAAAACTGTTCAAAGTTGAACATGTCCTATCATAGTGAATAGCTAGTAACATGAGAGTAATTTTTTTATAGATATATATATATATATATATATATATATATAATAAATCAACTGCGGAGATGATGCAAGGTCGTGAGAAACCAACTCTCACATATTTTAAGGCGGCAACTTTCTGAAAACTTCAGTTATTATATTATATTATATTTATTTATTTAAGATTGCAGTCCTCCAACATCATCTTGTTTTGTTTCTGGCATGTCGAGTGAAGAAGACTGCCTCTGTACGTAGTCATTTGTGTAAGGTTTTGAAAATAACAATAAATAAGTGCTTGAAGATAAATAGATAACAATTATCCGACATGCATGTTGCTTGTGTTTCTGCCATTTTACATGGAAATTTATTTCCTTTTTTTTCTTTCAATAAATGATGAGTGTTTAGTCCAACTTTATTAAGAAAAAAAAAATCATGAAATGGGGACAAGATTGAAGCAACCTATTTAAAAAAAGCTTCAAAAGATAGTATACAATAAGCCTGATAGAAAAATATAATTTAGTCAGTATCCTGTCCATAGCATTCAAAATCTAGTCTAAAAATTGAATGCCAAAAAATTAATATAAAGCCCAAAAATAGCCCACCATGCAATCAATAATGGAGGAAAAGAAACATGATTGTACTGTGAAACTGATGTAGTTAACCTGCATTTATGAGCAATTGTATAATGAACCTCTAGAAATCCTTATTACCCCAATCCACTTAAAAAAACATCATTCTTATGCTTCAAGGCAAGAGAACAAATGTATAAGAAATATTGAAGTTAGGATGGTATTAGACAAACATTCAATAGTGATAAACCGAAATAACATAATAACAACTAACCATTATCATAAAATCAGTCCAAACATTAATATTGAAGAATAATATAATCATTTTGATAAAAGAAAAGTCCTCTTAATCATATTTAAAATGTCATTAAAACTATCAAGGCAAATGTATGTACCCATAACAAAATAGATAAAAAAGTTCAATCAAAGTTCAAAAGCCTAGAACTTGTTAATACATTTTTATTTGTCAAATAAGATTTTTATTTCATAAGGCCAAGAAGACTTGGAGTTTCTATTTATGCGGCTTATAAGCCACTAAAATTTTAAACACAATCCCATTCAATGTTGTTGCTTTGACATTAAAAACTCTATCTTTCATTTTCCTCTAAATAGTGTGAGCTAGCACGAGATAATAAGCAAGAAAAGCATTTTAATGGTATTATGGAAAAAGGAAGAAGTGTTCAGAACTTGTTGCAACATAGGTTAAATAAGGTAAATGTTGTCATTGGGGAATAAATTATTCCATCACTGCTCGGCGGTAGAAAACAACTTACTTCATTATCATGTAAAATCAGGCAGTCATCTCTATTTTTTAGAAAAGAAAGTGTCACACACAACATATTGTTAATCAAGCAAACACAAGTATGGGCTGCCTCTCAAAAAAATTTAGTTTAACGTCCTCAGTTTGACCAAAGCACTCATATATCATAAAGTAAAGCAAA